CGTGTATTTGAATGAAACCCATAATAAAGTTACGTAGAATCTAACGTATTCCACTATCAATTTATAATCTATTTTACATCATTCATTATCAAATTGATTATAGTTACTATACATAATCATTTTACATATATATATATTTTTAAAATACATGTAAAACTTTCTAGCATTTTTACTAGCAATTAATAATCTTGTTCCTTTCTTTTTCTGTCATTTGTCAATTTTATAATGCTAACTTTAAATCTTATTTTATCTGCCTGAAATACTGTCTACTTTCTGTAATCAAATTATGAAAAAAATAATTATTTACGTCTTTTTTATAAATATTTTATTATTTAATATAAATATATTAAATATATATTTAATATAAATATCTTTTTTTAGTATTTTGTGTTTAATTTGTCTTTATATTTTACTTTATCAACAACTACCGTAAAAATAACTTTTAAGGCATACTTTTTTAAATGAGTATCCTTTTTCTCATTGAAATTTAGCATTTTTTAATCTGATTATATTAAAGATATCAAGCGTATACACGTATAATATGATTTTCGGTATTTGCCCAAGCGTTATTCCTGTGATAATATATAAATATCCCACGATATTCATAATTAAACCTGATACCCACCCGGATGGATATTAAATTATACGCAAGTATATGTTAAAATCCTTTTTACAGGCAAAAAGAAATATATCTGAAAAGATTAAATGTGACGAAAAAGCGTGAAAGACAGGAGGATTAATCAACGATTTAAACAGACTTTACACATTGATTCCAAATACCGTGCGCATAAAAGCCGAAGGAGGGCGTTCCACGGACAAGGCTCCCTTTCACTTGTTTCGTCGAAGCAGTTAATTGAATTGACACATTCTCGCAACAAGCAATCATGTCCGCCACCGTAATACGTATTTCTCGCGTATAACGCGGCTAGCGTTTCCCATATCACGATAACGAAGATAGAACGGGCGAAGCTTGCTAAGCCGAAGCTTAGCTCGGACAGCATGGATCTCGGTCCACGGATTTCACTGGCAGCAACATTCTCTCCCCGAGCTTCTCGAGCGCCAAGAGTTGACCGCCCTCTCGCAATTGTACTCCACTTTCGTTGCTTCTTGCCAAAGCAGAGGCTCCGTCTTCGCAGAACGCCCCGATGGCCCGCCACCTCATCTCCCGAGCTTTTCTTTAGCTTGGTCCTTTTTCTTCGCTCCCCTCTTCCGCGCCCCTCGACATTGCCACGTTCCATCGCGAGGAGGAGCCCCGGTAATTGGCCCTTGGACCGCGACCGGTCTGCGAGGCAGGTCGAAAAAGGGAGCGGTGAAAGGGTAAGGGTCGAGGGGTGGTAGTGGCCGAAGAGAAGCTGCGGCGTCCTCGGGGAGGTAAGAAGTCGTGGCGAAAGAGGCGCGTCAGATTGTGGAGCGAGGAAGGAAACTGTATAAACCAGAGAGGGGTGGGTTCGAGGCGGGCAGTGAATGGAAAGGAATTATGGAAAGTGCAGGACAAAGACCATGGAGGAGGAAAGCAAGAAACGTGCCCGCGAGAGGACGGGGGAAACTGTGAAACAGGGAATGGCTGCGTAGACACACAAAGATTTGCATCAATGGAAAAAGGAACATGGAGAGTTGTGACACAGGTATGGGAAACTGCGGTTCAAGAGAGTGTGTGTGTGTGTAAGAGAGAGAGAGAGAGAGAGAGAAAGGAAGAAATAGGGCAACAACAAACTGTAATTAGGGAAGGAAAAAACTAAAAGGAAAAGCACAGATGGCAGGGAGAGGGAACTATGTGGACAAATAGAAGCGGGTAAAGAAAGGGGAGTGCAAAAAGAAGTTCGCGTTAGCGAGGGGGAAAAAAGTAGGGAAAAATAAGGAGAGTTTGAAATAGAGAAATGGTGAAACGGAACGGGAGCATAGTGTGCGGATGACGGGGAAGGGGGGGGGGGGGCAGAGAATGGAGAAACAGAGAACTAAAAGCCGGACCAACAGGAGGGGGACAGGGAAATGGAAAAAGAAGAAATCGGCGAGAGAGAGAGAGAGAGAGAGAGAGAGAAAGAAGGGACGTAGAAACGGCCAACTTCGAGAGGGTGAAGAGAGAAATATGGGACAAGAGAAATTATGTGCGAAAAAAGAGGAAAACTCGGTGGTGGTGGCGAGGTGGCAAGTAAAAAATCGAGAAAGTACGTGAACTGCGACGAGAATGAAGAATTAAAGAAACTCGAAACCGTGTCTATGAGAGTGCAACGTAAGAGTAAAGACGTAAGGAGGAAAGCGGTATCGGTACGAAGAGAAAGATGGGTTGAGAAAAAAAAAGAGGAACCTGTGCACGAAGGACGAGCACGGTGGACTAAAAGGCGGTTAAAAAATGTAAACTAGGAGAGAAACCGAGGCGGCGGTGGCAAGGAACCGAGGAACAAAGGGAGCAAAGTAGGTAAACACGCGATAAAGAAAAATAGGCAGTCGACGGGGTTTCTAAACTGAAACTGAAGGGGTACACGACTTCCGCAAGGATTTTACCCTATATCACGAAGGGGGCGTGCGAGGGATACTTTCACCCCCTTGGGAGAGGCGGCTGCTCCGTCGTGCTAAACTTTAGTCGGGGTGAGATATGCAGAAATTAAATATTCATTTGGGCTACCAACCCTAGTCTCCTCCACTTTCCTTCTTCTTCTTCTCTCTCTCTCTGTGCACCCTCTTCCTTCCAGTCTGTCGCACGCCCATGCATCGTACCTTCCTTCTCTCTCCCTTCTGCTCTCTCGAAAATAATGCCTTGGCCCGAGGCCAGTCTCGCTGAAGGCTCTTGATGTTCAACCCCTCTTGTTTCGTTCCAGCATGGAAGAAAAGGACACGCGCGCGTGTGCGCGCACCTCGATGCTAAGTAACTCCCCGATACTTTTTCCTCCCTTCAGTTTCTCCTCCGCGTTTCTTTTAATTCGCGTTACTCGCTCCAGCTCCTCCTTCGAAGGAAACGCGCGTATCGTATCCCGCGTATCAACGTACCTGTTGAACCAGATCCAGCGACTGTTCGATGAAATAATGACAAGTAGTTTGTGTATACCATTTACCAAGCAGCCGGAGGCTGGAGGGATAACCTTCGAAACACGTTTTCCTCGGCTTCGTCCTGACTGGTTGCTGCGTTGTTCGCGAACAGAAACAGAAACGGAATAAACGCTGCTCGTCGGGATGTATCTACCACCGGCGTTGTTGCGCGATATACATATGTACATTTCCTGCCTGCGGTTGATGAAGTGTTCTCTCGGCGCGGAATTGCATAGCGCGAGGGGGAGGAGGCGCTTCCTTTTGCTCGAGCACATCCTCCAGGATGGTTAGATGCAGCGCCGAGGGAACGCGGCAGGATAAAAGGATTTGTTTTGGAGCTTTCTGGAGACCGGCGGATGGAATGGGCGAGGGTGAACGAGGATGCTGGATGAAATTTGAATATCGTCGTTGTTGCCGCGGCGGTGGTGTTTCGGTGGGACGAGCGCGTCGTGATAGCGGTTAGGTTAGAGGATACTTTGTACCTTAATCGTTGTATAAATAGTCATTAGACGCCGGGCTAAATATTGCCTGCAAGTATGCACGCGCGTTTTGCCACTCGCTGAACAGGTATTTCACTTCTACGGGTTGCAGCTCGCATGGCTGTAATTACTTTTGACTAGTTTCCGTCGACGCTCGGAATTACCGGCTAATTAACTTTGAACAATGCGTATTTTTCTTTCTTTTTTTTTTTTCTTTTTCTTTGCTTCGCTGATTTTTCTCAGACGTCGCCCATGGTAATAAATTGACTGTAATTATTAAGGGATCAGGACAGTTTGAAATTTTCAAAAAATCGATTCTTTTCGTTTTGTTTTAAATAGTCGTTTGAAGTCTTAGAAATAAGATACAAAAGGACTTTTAAAACGACTTATTTTGGGGTATAATAATAAATCCGCGGAATAATATAGCATAATTGAATTTGTATCACTGTTTACAACTCTTAGCAGTATTATAAAGTGTAAATCGTGTGATTCTAATATTACTATATTAAAAATAATAGTAAACCATAATAAAAATTAATACTATAATAAAAATAATATAAATGTATAATAAAAATTGTAATAAATTTATATTTTTAGTAAAAATAATAATAAAATGTAAAAAATTGTAATATATTTATATTTTTAGTATTGTAAACAATTATTTAATAGAAATTATAAAACTTTCATTATTTTTCGTAAAGTTAAATGGACGCAGAATTCTGAATCAAATTTCTCAACCAATCACTTGACTGAACGTAATACATTCGGTATATTGGAAGCTACATCTGAGAGCAGCTAAGAGGAAAAAAAAAAAAAAAAAAAGAAAGAAAAGAAAACAAAGTATGTAAATCGCGAAAATACCGAAGCTGGCCTATTTTCTCGAACGAGGGATGACGAATCGTTCCCTCGTTCCACTATTGGGGCACGAATAGACCGGGAACGGCGGCGTGGCAGGGGGATGGAGGAAAAGGAATTTCAACTTTGATCGTTCAGATTCTTCAAAGTGTACAGAGAAAACAATGCGGGGTCGCGAGAAGGGGGGGGGGGTGAGCTTAAAGCGTACGTGTTATTTCGTGCCACGGCAAGGAGGGGATCGAATAAAGATAAAAGGCGGCTGTGACAAGCGTTCGATAACAAATACCGCGGATATACGGTTTTCCCTCCCTTTGCGATTCGAATGAAATAGAGCTTAGTGTCGCCTTTGCTCTTTAACGGAAACGTTTCGAGGGCGAGGGGGTGGATGCAAGGACTGTGGTGGGAAGGGCGAACGATCGAGAATAAAGAGATTTTCTTCGACGTTTTCGGGACCCACAGGGATAGGGTACGGACAAAAATAACGTAAAATTTGAATATCGTCGTCTTTGTCGTTCCGGCCGGTGTGTACGAACCGGTAAACGATAGCAATTGCGTTATTTATCGTCTTGTTGTTGCGCAACACGGCCTTCCACGTCGAACGGAAGCTAACGGGGTTCTCTCCTTCCTTTTTTGTTTCAGATGCCCGCATTCTGCAGAATAAACACAGCGAGTCGAACCGAGGTAACGGGGATGAAAGGATTTCTTCGACTGTGTCGGGAAAGGGTAAGACGAGCTCAGAATGTTGTATCGCGCTTTCAAAGAGTCTTTTACAACGTTTTATCGCATTTACAGAGGATTGTCTCCCGAATCGGCGGGGATAGAAAGCGAAGCTGGAATATTGTAAATATTTCAGTTAACCGTGCTACGGCACGTGTAAAACGTGATCTTCTTTTCTAATGGCGTGGTCTTTGAAAATGAGGGAGGGGCCAAGTGATTTTAAGCTCGTCGTCGAAAGTTACGATAGAAAGAAAAAGAAAAATAATAAATCACTCGCCAAAGATTCGATGTCAAGTAATCGGTAAAAATTTTCAATTGTTTTAATTATCGCGTTCACTGTACACGTGTCTTAATATTTTCCTTCTACGCTCGATCGTTCGAAGTGTTTTTTTATATTTTAAAATGGTTTAAATGCAATTTAATTCAGTCGCATTGTTATATTTTAAAAATAACTGTATATTATATTATATTTGTATATTGTTGTGTTTTAAAAATGGGGATGTTACGGTTGTTTTCTCTTGGTTGTCTTAGAAATCTATAAAAGAAGAGTATTGTCCATTCTCGTGGCAATGTCTCGTTTAATTTATCTAGTAATATTATACTCGTATCTTATGTTATTGAAATATACTATTGGAAAAGAAGAGCGCGTTGTAGTTTATTACATTGTTATTTATGATATATATATTTATTCTATATTTATACTAAATATATACTATTCTACTTATTCTATATTTATACTAAATATATACTATTCTACTTATTCTATATTTATTCTATACATTAAATATATATATTATTTATATTTATACTAAATATAGTATAATATGCTATATATACTATTCTACTTATACTATTCTATATTTATTCTATATATTGAATATACATATTTGTTTTATATTAATTATTTGTTAGAAAATGTAAAAAGAAATCTTTTTTAAATTTAACGAGATCATTTCTTCAATCAAAGTGACAACACATGCACGTGTATACACGGTAAAAAGATATCGCGCCAATTTTACGATCAACAAGTGTTTCGTCAACACTTTTGTCACTATGTTTCAACATCTGTCACGTTGACAAGTAAAATTCTGTAAATTCGCAAATTTTACTTCCCTTTATGCCCGATCCTCGCAATTAATCCGAGAGCAAAAGTTTGCGCGACGTCTCGCCGCCATTGTGCAATATCTTACAAAACCGTCGCCCGTTCCCGGCGTAACACAAAGATGATGGAGGATTTTGTCTCCTCGCGCGCCTTTCATAATTGTATTCATGATATTCATAGTGTACCGAAATTTATCGAGCACCGCGAGTTTACGCGTTCGGTGGGAATGCCCGGCGGATTTAAATCACGCATAGGAAACCGTGTTAACGGCCCGCGCGGATGCTATCTCTCGTTGTTGAATCCTGTAAGTCGCGCAACGAGGTGACGGCGAGAGGGTTGGAATTTATAAAGGGTTGAAAGGATTTCAGGCGATAAGTCGAAGCGTTATCGTAAATCTGTCCGAGTTAACTCGCAACGGCGTCGCCGTTTCCGTAAACGAGCTGCCGACCGGGTATAAACAAGAAGATGCGTGGAACAATAGGGACTCGAGGAAATTGCCGACAGTTCAGTTTGTCGCGATGGGGCACGGTTGAACGTTCAGTCGTTCGAACCGGCCATCGTCGTTCTCTCGGTGCTGCTGCGGAATTGTTATTATCACTCCATCGATGACAGAAAGGATGGGCTGGCTTAATTAGAAATTAACGAAAGCCGACGTCGAAGTTGTATCTTCAGGAGTCGATCTAATTTACGCGGCGGCCCGATCCGCAATAAACGAAGACGCGACGGCGAAATGGCCCGGCCCGGGGGAAGTGTTGAGGGGGGGAGGGGGATGGCCCGTCCAATTAACTTAATTAACGTTACAGAACGTGAAAATTTTAACGAAAATAATGCTCTATCTATCGAGGCGCCTTTTAATTAATTTTCGCAATTGTTTTGCAGATAATTGTATTTTCCGCGCCGGGGTTTAATTAACGAGGACGACTTCTCGCGAGAGAAGACCGTCCCGAAAGAAACGGGCAAAACTCGGCTTTTCTGCTAATCAACAACCGTTGCATCTTCTCCGCGTTGAAAGTATCGGCCTGCTGGCGGACCAATTAACAAAGGGCAATTTATTATAACGTAGCCTCTCCCCCTTTTGACGAATCAATCGTCGCTTCTTTCGCTTCCTTCTTCTTCTTCTTTCCTTGTTTCTTTCTAGTTTTCCATTGTACGTGGAATTTCGTTTCATCGCGCAGGCTAAATTTCCTTCTGATCTTTTTCTTTTTTTTTTTTTTTTTATGTAAGTACGATATTAACTCTTTTGGTAACGCTAACGTTTGAGTTTTTTTTTTTCAATTAGGTGAACGTTGTCTGTAATTTTGGATAGGTATTGTGTCATTTATGACATTTTTGATTTTAGAGATTTAGGTTTATATATATGTATATATATATATATATATATATTTATAGTCATTTATGACATTTTTGATTTTAGGTAGCGTTTATCTGTAGTTCCATCTCCTAATGACATCTTACAACGCAGATATATAACTTATTATTCAATTAACATTTGACGTTTCAATGGTCGTATTATGTTTAATATTAAAGAGTATTAGAAGTGATATTAGAAATGATACTAAAGATTTCTTTCGTTTTATCAACTGATAACGGATGTATCGTACGATATTTTATGTATTGTTTGTAGAATGATTTACGATTCATTCTAATCCATCTCTCCGGAAGTCTCACATCCAAAGCTTCTGTTTGTTAATAAAGTATTATTCGAGATGCATTTTTATATCATTCGTAAAAATCAAATCTTTAGCCACGAAGACAATTTTTTAATAAATGAAACTTTTAACAAATGGTAATCAGAAATAGTAATGTACAGAGAATGTGAAGAATGAGATACATAGAACATTCTAATTAAATTTGCGCATGCAGATTTTAGTGTTGCACGTGAAAGAAACTTTTGAACAGTCTAATAGTATTAAATATTTACTAGCTATTAATAATATTAAGACTATTAATAACTAGTAAATTCTTTTCACAATTATGAAAAATGTCTGAAGAATTGCAAAACTTAACAAATAGAATTTACACGCGTTTGGAGAATTATATCGTTACGTCGTGTTCAAAATGGCCGCTTAAATTAAATTAATTATAGTACCCTCCATATGAAAAAAAAGCAAGCGTTCTTTCTCGTAGTAAAAATGTGTCGCGATAAAAAGATCTAATTTGCTTTGATATTTTATATGAACAATGAAAAGAATTCTTTAAATTGGCTAACCATGCATATTTTGATTAATTTTATTATTTAATTCAATTATTAATTATGTTATGAAAGAAATAAAATAGAATTTTTTAAAACTAAATCGACGTGCAATATAGAAACAAATATTGAAACAAATATTAAATATCGTGCAATGATTCGCGACATAATTAAAATTCAACGTTAGAAACATTTTTGGCTGATTAAAGATTTTCAGGGAGGTTTTTCTATTTCTCTGCTTAATTTTCCATTCGATTGTGTACAAAAATATAAGAAAAGTGAGAAATAAATTAATAGTATATAATATTGATCGAGTTTGCAATGTTATAGTGGACAAACGAAGGATTATACTGTATGAATTCATTTGTTTTATTCGCTAATAAAGGATCGCTAATAGAGAGAACACTGTCTTGCATAATCTTGTTCAACGTTAAGTATGATAATTCGATTACGATATTTACTTTGATAAGTTAATTATTCATTTGATTAATTGTTTCGAAAAATTGTAAATATACTTTTCAACTATTAACTTCAGAAATGACTTTTCGATAACTATTTTAACTTTTAAAAATATTAATATTTTTCACACATTTTGTATTTTAATAACGAGTAAATAAATGTAGAAACATTTGCCTTTCTTTAGGATTCGAAGATGTTAATTAATGATTAAAATTAAATGCTTATTAAAATATTTTACGTTAAATGCAACGCATGTAAATTTTTTGGAACACTACGCACTGAATGAAATAATTATCATTTAATTTTATACGCTTTCTCTATCGACTTCATTAATTCATTGAAAACAGATTTCATTATCTGTTATTTCACATTGAATTGCTTCATATTTATAGGATTTTATTGTTCGTTCCATACTTTTATTATTACTTCCAGAATTTTTTAATTTTCATTGCTTTTTATGCTAAAGATACACTTATAGCTGAGACAATTCAGTCGCTGCGAAATTATCTATATGTGTGAAAAAATGATAATCTACAAAAAAGCAGGATCCTGACTTGCCTGAAATAAGTACAAATGGCCATTTCCATTCATTTTGATATTAAATGAATTTTCTAATGATAACATCATATAATAAAAAGTACTTTTAAATTCTTAAATATTACACTTTCAATTCTTAAATATTAAATCTCTTTAACTATTTAATTTTAATTTAACTTAAATATTTTGAAATTTTTGGTTTTTGTACTTTGATTTGGCAAGAGATTTTTTTTTTTTTATTAAATATTATCGCAAACTTATTTGAAATAATTTATTGGCCTATCTCGACATGATTTTTCAATTCATATTTTTACACTTTAAGAATGTTTTATAGTAAGATAGTAATAATTAGTATAATGACTATATTTTAATACTAAAACATTTTATGATGCTTCAGATATAAAGGAAAAAAATTAGCTACGAATATTCTAGTTATGTCACAAGGGCGTTATAAAACCTTAGAAATATACTAAAAAGCTATATATTCGTACACTGTTCCAGCCATTCAGAAATATTCAATTTAGATTTCTAGTATATGATAATTGTCGTTCGTATAAATCGTTCATATAAATCGTTACTCATAAATACTGTCAGAGTATAATGTGAAAAGAAATTTTTTTAATTATTAACATGCGCTGCAATTAACTTTCAATGCAATAGTAGAATATGAACTAATTACTGAATGATTTAAAAATGACTGATCGACGACTACAAATT